GGAAACAATAATTAAATACTTTTTGCAAAACTTAGTTTTTAAACAAACAAATTGAAAAATTTGAAAACAAGTTAAAATATAAGTTTTTTTTTTTTTAAAATAACATAATTAACATGTTAATGTAACAAAATAATAATAACAGTTTTTGTTTGCACAATGAATTTCAAAATTTTTTTTAGCACAATCATAAAAATCACCAGAGGGATATGACAAAAATTAAAATTTATTAAAAAAAAACTATACATGGGAGTTTTTTTTTATTTTAATCAAACTAACATTGGAAATTTTTAAAAACAATGAGGTTAGTTACTACCTAATAAAATTAATCAATGCTAATTAATAATATTAATTAAAAAAAAAAAAAAAGAAAAAGAAAAAGTGATTGTCATGGTTCTTTGCTTTAATAAAAGTTAAAGATTAGAATCTTTCTACTACTACCCTCATCAATTTTTTTTTTTTTTTTATTTCTTCTCCGTTATTTATCACAATAACTATATATATATTTAGATATTGCGTGGAGGTCAATTACTTTGTTTTTTTTTTTTTTTTTTATAAAGCCAAACCTCAATAATAAAAATCTATTGTTTCTTCACCCAATGTTGTTTATCAACAAAGAATTTTTATTGTCAATCTCAAACCACTGCGCAACTTACCATCATCAATAAATTAGTATTCACCATGCAAAAAAAAAAAAAAAAAATTCATTCGACCACATCGGTAACTCATCGTTAACCCACTCATTCGTTAAAAAACTTTTTTTTTTTTTTGTTTCTTTTTTCTATATAATAATAATTATTGCAAAAAAAAAAAAAAAAAAAAAAAAAAAAACCAAACAAAATAAACCGTCAAAACAAATATAATCTCTCTTGTATTTAAAAAAAAAAAATTTCATGCATCATTATACACTTTTATTGATATTTGGGTTAACTCAATCAAAAACAAAAAATACCTAAAAAAAATTTATAAATACCTTAATACCTTAAATTTATAAAACCTTCCAAGTTTTGTTTTTGTATAACAAAAAAAGAATTTGAGATTTTCTTTTTAATAAAAAAAAAATAGATGGTATAGATTTTAACTGTGTATTTTTTTTGACATTGGCATTATTTTGTGAATGAATGAATGAATGAATGAATATTTTAGTTTACCATCATTGGAAATGTTTTAACATGATTATCATCAATAATACATGATTGGCGTAACTCCAGATATATATAAAAAAAAAAAAAATTTTCTTAGAAGAATGACATGTTCAAACAAAATTAGATATTGCCACTACATGTAGGCTCTAACTAAACATAATTAAATTTTTTTTTTAAATGAATAAAAATTAATTAAATTACTTAATATTTAAATATAATAATAAATAATAGCAAAACATATTTTTATTTAATTTAAAATAATATATATATATATATATATATATATATTGAACATTTTGTTTTTTAATACATCAATATGTATATTATTAAGTATTTAAGTTTAAATAGACGGTCCTCGTTATTATACAGATGTGAAGGAAGTATTCAAGGACGGATTTTTTACGGTGACTTAAATACAAAAAGGTGTGGCTAATATTGCAAAAGACAGGAAATGGAATTTTTTTCTTTTTTAAATGATTTTATAAATTCAGATTTTTTTTTTTTTTTTTTAAAAACAAGGCGCAAAACATAACACAAAACACAATCTGATTAAAAAAAGAAAATTTGTTGTTTTTTTTTTTTTATTGTAGGATTATAGAGATAAATTAGAGTAGTTTTTAAAGAAGGCGGTGATTTTTAAGAGTTCGATGATCTCTCTATGTAGGTGTTTACGTTACCTTTTTTATTTTTTTTTATTTTATTTTATTTTCCTTCCGAGCTTTTGTTTAACATATATAAATAAATAATTTTATACAAAATAATAATAATAATAATAAAATTATCTATAACTTAAACTAATCGGTAATAAATATTATAATGCGTAACAAAATTAAAAAAGGTCAAATTTTTATTATTATTATTATTATTAATTAAAAAGGCGTTATTAAAATACTTAATAATAACATTTATTAAAAAACAATTATTATTATTATTATTATTATTATTATTATTATTATTATTATTATTATTATTATTATTATGTAGAAATGTAAAAAAATGTTTTAATTAAAATCATTTACCTAGATATTAATAACGAACATTCTTTTATTGAGTTATTTTTTTTGTTACATAATTTTAAAAGTTTTTATTACGTTTATATTACGATTTTATGTATATATATCTATGTATTATTAATAGAAATTATTAATTTTTTAAAAAATAGGTTTATTTTTATTGCATTTTAAATCGATTATAATGTATTTTTTAATTAACTAAAATTTACACAATTTTTTTTTTGTTTCGAAGTAACTGGAAAAAAAAAATTAATTTAACGACGACTACGTAGAATTTTAAATGATTGAACAAATTTTTATTTATTTACTTTATGAAAAAAATATTTTATTAAATCCTACATAATTTATTAAAAAAAAAAAAAACAGGAGTGTCTTATTAAATTGAAATCAATACTAAATAAATTTCAAAATTTTTTTTTTTTATAATAAAAAATTTTTGCGAAGGTTTTGTTTGTTTGTTATACGTATAAAGAATGAATGAATTTTTATATATATTGTGTAATTTTTTATATTTAATGATAATGATAATATGATATTGTGTAAAAACTAAAAATTTTTTTTTTTTTTTTTTTTGTTATTATATACGTCAATATTAATTTCAATAACTAAAGAATTTTAAATAAAAAAAATTAATTTCCAAGTAATTTTTAGTCATTTGTTTATTTATAAAAAAGGAAAAGGAAAATTAATTAGTACATGAAGAAAAAAATAATAATAATAATAATTTAATTTGAATTTTTTTTTTAATTATCGAACCATTTAAAATAAAACATCAAATACGTTACAAAAAAAAAAAATTTTTTTATTATTATTATAAATTACGTAATTAAAAAAACTATTTGAAAATCGTAAAATCACAAACGAAATAATAATAATAATTTCTTTTCGTTCGCAGGAAAAAATTTAAGCAATAATAATAATGATGGAAATAAGTGAAAAAAATTCACCGGATCCTCAAGTTAATAATAACGAAATGGATATAATAAAAAATAACAACGAATTGGTAAGTTTTTATTTATTTATTTATTAAAATAGAAATGCTTTGAAACCCCCCCCCACCCACATAAACTACTTTTATATTATAACTATATTAGGAAACGTACGATCCTGCCGGTTATATTATTTAATTATTATTAAATAAAATATTTATTGTAAAAAAAAAAAAAAAAACTCAATAATAGTAATAATAATAACTATGCTATGAAATTTTTTTTTTATTTTATTGTGTTACATAAATTCTTATTTATATATATAAATTTATTTATTTAAACAAAGAAAGATGAAAAGAAAATCTTTTAAGTTTTTTTTTATGTGAGGAGAAAGCCACAACATCATCATCATCATTTTATTAATAATGTTTTGACAATGGTTGTTACGTCATCAAACAAAAAAAAATTAAATGTAGAATAATTAATTTCAGAAAAAAATTTTAATTTGCATTTTTTTTTGTAATTAATTAATTAATTAATTGAAGTAGTAATTTTGATTAGGTAACTAATATATTCGTTTGTTGTTGTTGTTGTTTGTTTTGTGTGGGGGGAGTGGGAGGGGTATTTAAAAAAATGATTTTCTTTCGAATAAACAATTTAATAATGGAGCGTTTAATTAATTAATAGTTTGTTTGGAAAAAAAAAATTTTGATTGATTGATTGATTGATTGACTGATGTGATGTTTAGAAGCCGTAAAAAAAAAATTTCAAAATAAAAATTATTGGGTTAAGAAAAAAATGAAAAAAAAATTTCTTTTTATTGTTATTTAATTAAATTTAAGTTTGATAAAAGATGGCGGTGGTTTTTTGTTTATGAGTGAGGGGAGGGGGGGGATGTGAAGTAAACAGAAAATAATTTATTATTAAAATTAATTTTTTTTTTTTGTTTAATAAAAACATGGTCGACAAATTATTAAAAATAAAAAAATTTTCGAATGGAGATTTAACGATCGTGTATTAAAAAGTGAAAAAGGATTGAAAACGATTTTTTTTTTTTTTTTTACAATGTTTAAACCCTGTAATTTTAAAAAGTTTTTTTTTTTTTTATCCAAATTTAAAAAATTTTAAAATTTTAAGTAAAAAAAAAAAAAAAAAAATTGCCACAGTGAAGATTGAAAGTATTTTAACGTTTATCGTCATGAACCCAGCAGAATACTTCAAACCTACGCCTGAATGACTGGGAAAAAAAAAAATATATATAAAAGAAAGAGATAGATAGAAGAAACCTACTGGAGAGAGAGAGGGAAATATTTAAAGAAAGGTGGGGGAAAACACCTGAAAAAAAAAAAAAAAGAAAAAAAGAATCGTGATGCCAAATAAGACAACTTTAGTATTTCTTTAGTTCGGAGGCAAGACGTGGGCGAGTTTATTGGTTTTTTAAAGCGGGTTGTTCGGAATGTTTTCCCACTTCAGAAGTTGGTAAAAGTGGGCGTCGTTTTTTTTTTTTTTTTTTTTTTCTAATTCGAAAACTGATAAGCACACTAAATTTAGGTAATGTAAACGAAAAATTTTTGTTAATGCTATCAAAATAAAAAAAAAAAAAAAAAAAACACAGGTGCGGGTTGTTAAACCGTCGGTTTTCCACATGAATATTTATTTTTATTATAAAAATTAGGTTTGGAACAATTTTTATTTAAAAAAAAATATATTTATATCTACATCCATATGGATTTTATATTTTTTTATTCGTTATATTGATTTTAATGCAATGACAACGTCGTGAGATTCCATTACGACAAAAATTTGATAAGATTTAAAAGTAAATTTTTTTTTTACATTGGAATAACACCAAATGCAGTTTGCAGTTTTATATAAACACAAACCATCTTAAAAAAAAAGTAAATTAAACGTTCAGGATGGTTGTAATTGTTATTAGGGCACAGCCCAAAGACTCAGATGAGGAACATTATTCTTCGAGGACGAGGAGTTACGTAGTTGAAAATCCAAATCAAGTTTTTGCATCGAGCCGATGCGAAATCTATGACGAAAGTGAGTCGTGGCCTTCATCGCACGATTCCGAATTGAATGCAAACTCAGAAAATAAACTCGTTAATGGAAATCGAATGTTATGCAATAAAAATGTCGAAACAACGTTTGTTTGGCATTCGGATCTAGATAATTCATACGTACGGGGGGTCGCAGAGAAATTACCTTACGAACCAGCAAGGAACGACCATCGTTTAGATTCCCCAATGTCAAAAGACAGCGGATTCAGTGATAGAATAACCACCAATGGTAACAAAACAAAGAATTTTAATAAACTATACGAATCGGATAGCGAAAAGTTTTTAAGGCAGGGTCGTTTTCGTACTTCCCCACTAACAGCACAAGTCAATTGTCGGAATGTCGATAATAATAATACCGTTGCTTATCTTTCTTGCTCTTCGCAGGTCGATCCTGAGGATTCGATAACAACGACAAAAGAAGGTAAGCAAAAACTCATTTTAATATTTTATTATTATTTAAATCCGTTAAGTCCGTTTTTAAACTAATATTGTACGGGATGAACACAATCGAACATTAGCGTTTCGTTTGAATCCTTTGAACTAACCTTCTAATGTTTGTCTATAAAATTTACACTTTTTTAAATTCAAATTCCCTGGACTTTGAACTCATTAAATTATTTATTTCCTGAGCCCTTACTTGTGTTTCCTTCATGCATCCTTCACGACCTTGTCTCATTTAGATGGTATACTAAATCAATGCCCTTAATAAGTTGACAAAGAGTCCATTGTCAACGAAAAAACCTGAATTTAAACCTTATCAGAATGAATAAAATCTATAAAAAACCGGGCGACCAAGAGTGATAATTATTTTTATCAATTAAGGTTTTTTTTCTTTTGCGAAAAATAAATTAATACACCTGATTTATGTCGTTATTTGTTACTCTATGACAATATATTATCATAGAATAAGTGCTAACAATAACTTTCGTACGTATTTCGTTGAATTTAACTCGTCAACTCGTCACTTTAAATTTTTTTTTCCCTCTTTTATTTTTAGTTGATTCGTTACATTTAATTAAAATGATTTAATTTAGTTTAACGCGCCGACATTTTACAAAAAAAAAAAAAAAAAATTTAAACAAATCCGCGTTTAAACATACAATTAATGGCAGCAAGGCTAGTGGCATTTAAACAGAAAAAAAAAAAAAAAAACTTGTTACATCACATAATTAGTCTGATCTGAAAATCTGATTAATAAAATAAAAAAAAACCTTGTGTTAATTACAAATTTAAAAAAAAAAAAAAAAATGCGTCGTCGTTTTTTTATTATTGTCGTTAATTTTTTAAATAATAATAATAATAATAATAATAATAATTTTTAATCGTTTACAAAAAAATTAAATTTAGTTTAGTGTTTGGCTGGAAAATAAAAATCGTTTAGTATTCCGAAAGAGGAGGGAAAATAAATTTAAAAACCAACAAATAAAAATATTTTGAAAGAGTTACGTACGTACGTGGTTGTAGAAAAAAAAAAATGAAGGATTCGTTTCGCACGACGTACGTATTTATTGACACGTCTGCCACCATATTTGTTTTTTTTTTTTTTTTCGTTAATCGTGTTTTTATTTTTATTTAAATTTGAATCGCGTAAACGCACACACACACACAATAAATTAATTAAATAAAATTATCGTTAATTAATTCTATTTAAGAAAAATTAATTATTTACTCTATGATTTTCGTAAACAATAAATAATAATAATAATATTATAGTTTCGGGAAAATTTTTCGTATTATAACGAAGAGAAACAAAGATGGACGAACGATACTTTTTTTAAAATAATTATAATTTTTAATAGAATTCGATTTGTTTTACTCTATTAATTAAATTTTTTAATTTTTCCGTGTCATCCTCTTTAAAAAAAAAAAAAAAAAAAAAAAAGTTATAATGAATTAATCCGTGACGTAATAAAATTATCAAAACAATTCGAAGGATTGAACAAGAAAATCGACGCCATATTGAATAAAACAAATAAATTAATTGAGAGACTAAAAAGAAAATTTAACGTTTTCCGGTTTTTCTTTTTTGTATATCATTTATTTATAAAAAAAAAAAGAAAACAAAACGGTTTTGAAAAACAAACAAAAAGTTAAATATATAAATAAATAAAATGTTCAGGTACAGTAATTATTTATTAAAATGCATAATAACTGTTTCTTTCGATAAAAAAAAAAAAAAAAAAAATGAATTCCAAGTAGGTTAACAAAAAAAAGCTTTAAGGAATAATATAAAAGCTTTATTTTTAAAATAAATGAAAGGAAAAATTAAAGAATTAGTCATTATAAGGTAGTACAATATGAGTAACAAACAACACCATAAACAGGTTATATTTAAAATGGCCATGAAAATAAAAAAAGCAAGAAAAATGTTTTTTTTTTAAAGACCTTCGTTCGGTAAAACTACAAAAGTCACAAAAGACATTTAAGGAAATTAATTTTTTATATAAATGAAAATTATTAAAAGTTTATCCGCGTATGAAACTCACTAAGAATAATTTAATGGCGGAATATATAAAAATGATATGGACCGTGATAATTAAAAAATAAAATTTTAGACATTTTCCTGAGTTTTTTTTTTAGTAATTTTTCCACCGACCACTCGTCCAACTCATTTTAACACTTTTCTTTTTATTACCCATCACGAAAAAAAATTTTTTAATTATATATAAATTAATCGATTAAAATTTATTATAAAGTTTCCGGAAAGTACCGGAAGTATTTTTATTTGCGATCATTTAATGACGTCACGTTAATTTTTTTTTGTAGTTCTAAAAACTTACCGTAATAATTTTTTATAGGAGCTTAAAAAGTAAATAAATAAAATTATTTCCTATTTGAAATATTTTTAACGGTTGGTAACACTGAAATAAACATTATGCCAAAATTACTTTCCATTTTGTTTTGACAAAAAAATTTTCTTACTCTATGAAAATGATTTTTCCCAATTATTTATAGTTAATTTCGTTTTTAAAGTTTAAAAAATTTTTTTTTCTTTTTTGTTTTAATAAATTTAAGGGTTTCATTTTTCACAAAGTGGTTTTCGGAAAACGTTTTAATTTTTATAGAATCATTAAAAAAAGGTTTTAATAATAATAAAATAAATAAATAAAAAAAATATTAGAGAAAGAAAGAAAGAAAAAAAAAAAAAATTTCCACCGTTTTAAAATTTATTTTTTTTTTTTAATAATTGCAATTTATTATATATTAACCTTGTGAAAAGTTTTTCTTAATAATTTTCCATCCCGTTCGTTATTGAAAGTTTTTCCATGGAATTACACACTTTTTTTTGCTTTTATTATTAAAAAATTGTTTGCTCACATTTTACAAAGTGCTACCACTACATTAACTACTCACTGCGCTTTCATTTTAACATATTTTAACGTTAGGATCAATTTGAAAATTTTTTTTTTTTTTTTTTTTTTGGAAAAAATTCCAAATTACAGAAGAATGGGTAACGAAAAAAAAAATTGAATTGACAACAACGCGACAAATAGAAACAAGAGTTAAACGGCAAGTTGTTTTAGAAGATGGTAAAATCGTCGAAGATTCTGGACCTGTTGTGACAACAAACACAACCGAAGATACAGAAAAACAAGAACACAGTCAAACAGAGGTAATAATTATACCTTAATTTTTTTTATCTTCAAATCTCATCTCTTAAGTGAATATTTTTACACTTTAAAAACTTTTTAACAGCATCGAACGTTAGGAGATGATAATAAACCTGGAGAAACTTGGGTTTCTTTACCACAAGTTCCTGGTTCGATAAAAGAAGTTAAAGAAAAAACAGTTAAAACAAGAGAAGAAATCGAAGAAAGAACGGAAACGGAAGACGTTCAACATTTAGGAGACATTTCCGACGAAGTGAGTTTATTTATTATTTATTCATATATATAAAAACCGTTAATGTCGTTTTCTATAACCATTAAATCTTTTTAAAAAAAAAAAAAATTATTCCACGTAATAAAAATAAAAACAATTTTAATTAATTTAAAGAAATTTTTTTTTAGTTTTTTAAATGCATAAACGGAAAAATACGAAACGAAATAAAAAATAAAAAAAATCGTGAAACATAATAAAAATAAATTATTTCGTGAAAAATAAAAAATAAATAAAAACCGGTTTGAAAACACAAATTCCGACAAATATTTTTTTTTTTAACGTTTATTTTTAAATTTGAACTATGAATAATAATAATAATAATAATTTGCCACTCCTATAAATTATATTTTTTTTGTTATCTTAAAAAAGAAAAAGGTTTTATTTTTCGTTTTCGTTTTTTTTTTTTATAAAGTTGGCAAATAATTTTTAGGTACGAATAAAAAAACAATTATTTTATATAATTATTTATAATCGAAAGTCATGACGAATTTTTTTTTGTTTTTTTTTCGTTTTTTCCCCTCGGAGACTTTAAATTATTTATTATTACGTATTATTATTATTCATTGACCTACTTTCCATACCTAATAAACCTGTTTTATATGTATTTTTGTTTTTAATAATCGTCGAGAAATAAATAAATAAAAACAAACAAACAAACGTAAAATTTTTCCAATAAAATCTATTAGAAAAAAATTTTTTTAAAAACTTTTTAAAAATAATAATAATCTCATGGATGACAAATAAAAATTTGATTCATAAGGAATTGTGTCGCGATAAAAGGTGTTGAAATTAATTTGAAGCATTTTACGATCACAAGTTGGAAAGTAATCGATTGTTTTCCATAGAATAAATAAATTTTTTGTTTAAACAGGGATACATGACGGCGGTTAAATCAGGATCCGAAGATGTCCGACACGCTTTAGAAGTTGTTTCAAATAAAAAAGATTTGGTTCAATTTGCACCTAAAATAATTCATCAAAGTTCAAAGACTAAAAAATTTATTGATACGGAAGATACGACGGAATTAAGTCAAATTCAACCGGATGGAAAAGTTATAAGCGAAACACGAACGAGCAGACTTCACGAAGAGGTTTTTTTTTTTATTATTATTATAATTTTTCTCATTTAAAACAATTCAAAAGATGTGTTTTGTCATACCTTGTTTTTTTTTTTTTGGTTTAGTTGGAAGATAAGGATGTTTCAGACGACGATAGTTCAAACATGTCGAGCATTTGCGAAGCGAGTAAAAAAGAAAATTATCAAAAATTTAAAAAAACAAAAGAACAGGATTTAACGGAATATTTATCGAACGGTAAAAAAATAGGTGAAAAACTTCATTATCAAAATGAAACATCGGAAGCGGAAAAACACGGGGATAATTTTACATTTAACGACGATGATAATAATTCTTTGGCAAAATTAAAAAATATTAAAATGAGATATCAATCGAAAAGTAAATCCCCGTTGGAAAATCAACCGTCAAACAGTTTAAATTATTATAAAAAAAAATTACATAATTTAAATAGCGAAGAAGAAACGAGAAAGGAAGAAACGTCAAAATGGTTGGAACATCATTTCGGAAGCGAATCCACAAAATCATCGAAAGGTTCACAGGATAATTTAGATGACATAGTTCCCTCCTCTCAAAATAGTTTTATTAACGTAACAATGAAATCTCAATTATCTAAAAACGTACCGAGAACAAAATACATAATGAGTTCAGATGACGAAGATGATTTAAATAATTATTTAAATGATAGAGAACCTTATCATTCGTACACTACGAAAAATGACATAAAATACGATAGAAATTACGAATTGAGGGATACAAGAATCGATCCGATTGTTAGAACTGTATCTCCTCCATCTTACCCTAAAACCCATAGTCCGTACCAGACGAAATACCAAAATAAAAGTGTTTACTATGGAATTCCATTAACGAAAACTGAAATAGATGATGATTATTCTTATCATCAAAACGATGATTCCGATGGACAGTATCATCCTACGATCACGAGGCAATATTTATCGGTTTCTCCTCAGAGATCGGATCCCTACGTGCAATTTTCAAATGACGAAAGTATACATTCGTATCATTACGACGATAACCGCGATGAAAGGATAATTAATAAATACGAGGATGACGCGAGGAGGTACGACGATGGTAAAATAAAAAAAGAATACGTTCACGACACGACATATTTGAATAACATACAAAAACAAGATGGGATTAGGTATCCGACACCAACGGATGAAGAATTAACAACGTATCGGGTTCCATTGAATAAAAAACTTTACCAAAGAACACGTTTTGCAGCCGATATTCCACCGCCTCCTCAACCTAAATCCCAGCAGCAGCAGCAACCGCAACAATCAACGACTAAATCCAAAAGTAAAATTGGAGAAAGTTTTCGTAAATTAGTTGGAAAATTAAGATCGAATAGTAACGATCGAAAAAGTAAAAAACGATTAAAAAGTAATAACGAATCAAGATCCCCTTCACCGAAGGAAAACACGTATCAAAATTATAATTCTCTGGATAACTACGGCGCTTTAGTTAATAAAAGCGATACGGAAGAACCAGTTGCACCGCCGAGAACAAAACATAATCAAAATCGATCAAAGGAAGAAAAAACAAAATTCGTACAACGTTATTATTTAGGAGAGGATCCATTTTCCGAATCAATATACGGAAAGGAAAAAGGTTACGATGAAAATGTTTTACCGGGAAAAAAATTTAACGAAAAAGAAAATAAAAAATCGGAAAATGATTTTAAATCGAGGTGATTTTTTATTTAATAAAATTTTTTTTTTTTTTAACGTTTCCACGAATGAATTTTTTCTTTTTGTTGTTGTTCAGAACTCTCGGAAGACTTAGTAAATCAACGGGTCGATTATTTAATCCTGGACCTGTAGAAAATCACGTGATACAAGAGAAAAAAGGTTTTCAAACACTTCCAAGAAAATTTTTTAATGATAGCGGTAAAAAAAATAAAGTAAGTTTTACTTTTTTCTTTAGGTTTTCTTATTTGTTCATTTAAATAAAATTTTATTTTGTGCATCATCATCTATTTGTTTAACGACATTTAAAAAAAAAAAAACTCGAATTATTGTTTTTGACCAAAAAAAAAAAAGGAAATTTTACTTAATAAAATTTTTATTGCATTTCAGGAGTCAGCCAAGCCTTTTTTTCTTTTTTAAGTAGGTTAAGATTCGTTAAAAAATCATGAAATTCAAACGAGGTAGTTGATCTTAAAATAAATATTTTATTTTAATTTCGACTACGACTATTTGACAAAATGGTTTTTTTCTTTCTTTTTCATCATTATTGTTTTATT